AAAATAGGGCTAAAAAGCTTAACTTTTACAAAAATAACATTTTTTGAGAGAAAATATAAGAGAAGTGAATTTTTGAGTGTTTTTATAATTCCTGATTATTCATCTAATTGAATATGTAAAAATTAAACATCAATGTCAAATGTGAACAAGAAAATTATAATAATTTCTATTAGACTGCAAGCTGTGTAAGAGCAAGGATAATATGTAATTTTTAGGCCCCGGCATATAATAAATGGTAAATGAATAAAAGTAAAATTAATAAATATTCACATTTTATAGGTAGTAATGTAATGAAAACATATATGGAGACCATTGCTTTTTTTCTGTAGAACTTGCATATCGTGCTTTCATTCTAGACTGTGGGCTTACAGCTGTCTCATTGTCCACTCTCCCTCAACTGGGATAACTACCTTCAATTGCAGGGTACCAGCAGCCTAAAAACTAACATTTTCTTTCACGGTAAAGGAATATCGGGAGATTGATAGTTGTAACTAAGAATTAAGAACTAAGAACTAACTATTGACATTGACAAGAACTATTGACATTGGTCTAGCTTAGTTAGGTGTTTAACAGACATAAAGTCTTCTCCATGCTTATTCTGGCTTTCATTATTTGGTCTCCCTCCTGTCCCAGGCTTGCCTCCTTTCTTATTTCTGTAGTAAAAGAGGAACGTCCTTTTCCATTGCATCTTGAGTCCACTCTTCTATTTTAGCAAAAAGCAAACCCACCCTCCCTATAACTAGTTGCTGTATGCTTTGGGCTCTGCTATTCTAATCCTGATACAGAATCAGAAGGAAAACAAAACTGGATTCAAATATATTTCTCAACACTTACTAGCTCTGAAAAAAGTTAATAATATGATGTGTTTATTACAAAATGTCTTTTTTCCTTTGGGTAGGTGGCTAGTAGTGGGATTGTTGAATCAAATGGCATTTCTACTTTTAGTTTTTTGAGGCATTCTTCGAAGTGAAGTATCAAAAGAATGGAAAAACAAGCACTACATGTACTCGCCATCAAATTGGGACTAACTGAGCAACATGTTGGTGCTCACATGGAAGTAATATTCATTGGTTTCCAGTCAGGTGGGAGCAGGGAGGAATGGATGGGTAAACTCATAACTAATGGTTGTGAAGCACACTGTATGGGGGATGGGCACGCTTGTAGCTCTGGCTTGGCAATGCATAGTCAATATATATAACCAAACTGTTTGTACTTCCATAATATTCTGAAATTAAAAAAAAGAAAACAAATTAATTAAAATTAATTAATTAATTAATTTTAAAAAGTTAATGATTTGAAGCAAGTTAATATTTCTAAGCCTCAGTGTCATATTTATAAATCAGAATAATTACATCTCCCTCACAGTAATTTTGTGTGGAATGGATTAGATGATATATTTTACTTAAATCACAAAATGCTTGGCCTGAAATAGAGACTTAACCAGTGAGTTTCCTTTTTGCCTCCTTGTGACATAGGACCTACATTTTTCCTAAGCTTTTGAGATATTTTCTTCCCTTCTGTGCTTTTTTGTTCTTAATTATTTTAAAGCGTTTTCCTCCTTTTTCTTTGTCAGATACTAGAAGTTTTGATCAATCTTTCATTTTTTTTCCTATTTTTAATATGATACACTCTCTTTGCTTTTTTTCCCTTTTAACTTAATTTTATACCTTCAAACCAAAATTACAGTGTTTTCCCTAACTTCCCTGCTGATTTTTATCTTTCCTCCAAAAATCCTTTGGCAGTTTGCAGTTTAGAAAACTTTAGACTCGAAGTAATCTCAGCAAGATGGCGGAATAGGAAACCCCAAACTCTTCCCCTTGAACTCAATAGCAACAAAAACACACAGATGAATTTTCATTGTGAGAAATCCAAAAACTAGTTAAGAAGTTCTTCCAAGAATTAATATATATATATTCATTCTAGAGTCAAGTATCTATAGTGTAATTATATCATTATCCTATTAATCTAAGATTTATTAATTGAGCACTCACTTTGCTCCAAGCATAGAGGATATAACCCTCCTGGTATAAAAGTGCACAGTCCACTCTCTACTGTGTTTTACAATGTAAATAAAGTGAGGAGACAACATATTATTTTATTAATAATGAACAAACTTATTCCAAATGTTTGTTGTAAATCAAACACTATAGCTGCGTCTGTATATGTTGAACTTCAGCCACCTCCATGTGTATCTGTAAGATTTTATTCTTCAGAGAGAGAAGCATGTTAATGTAAGATCAATAATCAGAAATTATTATTATTAGCTACTAAAACAAAAGTGTATGCTGTGCCATTTTCTCAATCTTCACAAAAATGTTGACTATTTTAAACACTCTCCTTTTTCCTATATATAGTGACATTATTACATGTATTTGCAAAAAGATCATTAATTTGTGATTCTGTGTTTTTTTATATATAATATATTATATTATTATTATTATCATTGGATGATACATGAACTGATCAACTTCCACCAATTATGGGAACTGATTCAGGGAAACATGGTGAGAAGTGAATCATTAAAAGTTTTGTAGTTGCTTTCAGATACTTCTTAAGCACCTAGTATCCAGGGACACCACTGGTTTTTGACATGTGGATTGCTGTGAGGATTTCAGTGTTTGTGTTACTTTGAAACATACCTTTGAAGCTATTTCTTTCATTCTAAAAATTATAAAAATGGCATGCATGACCTTTTGCCATTAGATGGTGACTGTCTTTATTGGAGACAGTATTGAGAATGTTGTAGAAATTATATATTCTCAATAGGAAAGAACGTAAAAATAATGGCTAAAACGTTGAATATAAACATGGATAATAAAATGCACCATTAAGTCCCATATAATCCCTTTATGAGGATATTTTCTTTGATACATATTTATATTTAAAATAAATTGCCTTTATTGAAATTCATACAATGACAAAATCATTAGTAAATGTAATAATAATAATGATATGTAATTCTCACTATGCCTTGGTGTGAGATGATGTTATAAAGAAATAACATCTGAGATAAGAAAATAAGAGCTTAGAATGACTAAGAAAATTTCTCAAGGTAGTGAAAGTCTTAAATGACAGATCTAGAGTTTGGACATAAAAATGACTGACTCCACATACCAGGATTTATCATACTTTCCAGTCTACAGGAATATTAAAAATAATATTTCAAACAATAAATTCACATATAGTGTAAACAGTTATCACTGCAAAATTGATGTAACATTATTTTTATACTGTTTCATTTGTTTTTTAAATATTCAAAATTACATTGTGATTTGAATATTTAAATGTGAAAGAAAAAGAAAGATTGAGGAACTGTCATAGATTAAAGGAGATCAAGGAAGCATAGTAACTAAATCCTATGTAGGAATCTGCACCTGATCCTGAAGAGGTAAAGGGCATTAGTGGAAAAGCTAGTAACATTTGAATAAAGTGTGTGGTTTAGTTAACAGTATTATGTAAATGTTAATTTCTTGGCTGTGAAAATTGCAATATGGATGTACAAATATTAATATTAGGGAAAGACAGGTTGTATGATAACTCTGTATATTTTTTTCATAAGCCTAAAATGATTTCCAAAAATGCTAAAAAAAAAAACAAACCTGTATTAAAATGGTATGTTTTAAGTTCTTTGGTGTTCTAGGATAGGTTTAACTTGAATAGCTTTTTAAATTTAGTTGTTCACTATTCAATCATATTAACATCTACAAATATTTATTCTATAATATTTATTCTATTCTATTTCATCTGTAAAATAACTACCTTTATATCTTTATTGTGCATCAACAATTTCAATGGACCTCCAAATGTGTATCCATCCTTGAAGTTATTCACAGCATTTAAATAAGACCAAAACAGTCACTTTTATAAAAGTCTAAGTGAATCTGTATAATTTTTGGTAATTTGTATTATTATATAAAATATCTACAAGTGTTCTTTTTCTTTAAAATCTATTCCTTGTGTATGGATATATTTTTTAAATAGGCCAGAGATTATACTAAAATTAATTTATAAAAGTATATATTATGGTTATTCTTTTCTAATTTAAACTTATTTATATAATAGAGAAAATAGCTAATCCCAAAGCTGAGGTTTTATTGGAAAAACTAATATCACTCACATGTAAAGGGTTTTACCCTGTGAATTTTCAGAAAGAATTTATATGCCCATTTGGAATTCATGATTTAAAAAATATAATAGTTGTATGAGAAAAAAATCAACTCTTACTATTCAAGTTATCACTATGCCTTCAATTATTTTCTATATACTCTATAAACGAATAAGTGGAAAATAAAATCACAAGTTCTAGACTTGGATTGTGTAGCTTAGAATCTTACTTCTGCTAACTACTAATGATGCAAACTTAAGCAGTTACCTAAATTCTCTGTCTCAGATTCCTCACCTGTAAAATGAGAATACCAATAACCACATATAGGTTTATTGTAGCAAGGTAATACATTTAAAGGTTTTTTAAAAACTTGATACAGACTAAGCTGTAAATAAGAGTTATCAGTTCTTATTTTTTTCTGTTTGTCAAAAGTTGCTACTCAGCTTGAGATCTTTATAAGTCTACATTTACATCCAATTTTATATTTTATATTATTGCAGTAGGAGAATGAACATATTATTCATGTGCATATTTATCTACTTGTATTTTCAACAATATTTTAATGCATTTATGATTTAATTCATATCAAAATGAACTCATGGGCCATGAAACCTACTTGGTTATCTGTTAAAACTGAGAACCTTATGTAACATAATTTATTTAAACAAAAAAGAAAACTAGTCTCACACTTGAATTCTGGATTTAGTTTCAAATTACATACCAACAAATTTTTTTAACATTCTATGAAGTCAACTACAAAGAAGCATCTAAATACAACATAAATATCTTGTTGTGAATTCACAGCAATGACTACAATATCCTGACAGGATAACTGAGATTAGAATGTGTACGCTCATCTGAGAGAAGCTTTAGGAGCCAACCCCATGTGACTTACCTCTTTCTGATTCCTTGATTGCCAGCCAGGATACTGCAATTAATCCAACACAGATCACCACTAAGGTGCCAAAAAGAACTCCCAACATGATTTCATAGGAGTTCAGAGAATGGTGCCTTGAAGATGCACTTTTGTGTGATCCCATTTTTCGTTTCTGAAGGTTTACTACTTTAAGATCTGTGACAGAATATAAATGCCTGCACCAACTGAAGAGCAAAATCTCTTAAACTTTTAAAGAAGATGTGTAAAGCAACAACAACCTGTCTGCACTCCTACTAGTCAGTGTAAATGAGTTGTATATGACCTTTTGGCAACATTGTGTCTCTATTGGTTAAGTATCATAAAAAGGGCAGTTAATCTTTAAGAAGATATAAATGAGTAAAAATGCCTACAGTTGTAAATGCTAATCACCTGAACAGGCCTTTTGGCAAGGTGAATGAAATTAAATTCATGTAGTAAACAAAAATGACCCTTCATCATTTTAAGAACTGTTAGGAAAAAATTTGAAATTTGTGATAGAAAATTAGTCATCAGGCACATACACTTGATAGTCAGGTAAAGTACCTAACAGATCAACCTTCTACCCTCTGACTCAGATCATGATTAAGGTATTTCTCTTGTCATGTGTAAGTGTATAGACATTCCAAAAATAACATTTATGCACAGATGTATGTAAAGCCTAACATATGTATTCTCTCTCATGCACACTCTGTCTTTCTCTGTCTCTAATGAAACCTGAAGTTTTATAAACTTTTCATCACCCATGTCAATTTACGCAGTGTAAGGCATTATTGATTTATCTTGTGTCCACTTAGATAAAGTCCACTGAAACAAGGCATCGTACGGCTACTCTTTATGGCCTTGTGCAGTTATCAGTGAATAGGAATCGTTGCTATAGGAGGAATAATATATTTGTTTCTCTTTTAGAGAAATATCCTGGGTGGGGAAGGCATTGCTCATTCATCCTAGACTTTATCTCCTTTAAATGTGCCAATTATAACAAGAGAACAGGTTAAGATAACCACATTTACATTTATAGACCCATGTTTTATTGGAAATTCAAAGCTGTTTTCTGATAATTAAGGTACAATGTATCATTGGAAATTCCACGCCTTGAATAATGAGTCCAGGACTTTAAAAACAAGGTAAAATAAAAACCAAATAAAACCGAACTGATTCTGAAGTAAATCAATTTTCCTTTCATTTTCGTAAATAAAATTGGCTAGAGGTAAGGAAGTTTTAGATTGGAAACCTTAACACACTGTTAGGGAGGCACATTATAACAGGCTAAGATGAGCAATAACCTCTTTTCTTCTTCTTCACTCTTGAAAGAATAGAATTGCACATTGAACTCAAATTCTTGCTGATATGAAGTAGAATATAAATAAATAAATGTATGACATGGAAAATATTTATATTTTTTACTTAATTGAATTAATACTTATTGTTAAGTACTCTAAAATATTCATACCGATAATGGAATGGGAAAAGTTCATTTTATTTATATTCTAGGGGACAATTCTAATAACAGGCCAGACTCTAATAAAATTGAAACCTGACAAAGATGCCCCTTGAATTTAGAAAGCCAAGAAGGTGAAAGCACAATTACTATTTTTTTCTATAGCAGATGCAGAAGCAAACACTTTTCAGAAAATCAAGTAGTGATCTGTTACATTTCTTTGACTTTATAGAAGGAGAGGAGAAGATAGTAAAGTAAGTTCACTTGCTCTGCTCCAATCACAGGATAATAATAGATAAAATATAAGATTGAAATCCTAAATTAATTATTTAGTTTTAGAAACAAAGTCAGCATTCAGGTTATAAATTCTCTTCAAATAGTATGTTTTAAATAACTATATTTAATATCATCAAATAAGCAAGTGGAAGAATACCTTTTTTTTAAAAAAGCCAATAATTTGTGAAGAACAAATGAAGCAAACAGGCCAATGTGAAAAAGAACAAAAATATCCTGAAATTATTAGAACAGTTATTAAAATAAAACAAGACTTGCCCTATCAAGTAGCAAAATTCATTACGAAGTTATAATAATAAAGAGAATACAGTATTCGTCCCATAGTAGAAAAACGTGTCAGTGGAATAGAATAAAGTGCTCATACTCGACCTGATTCACATATGGAAATTTTATGTATCAAACACATAAAGTTACTCATAATAGGTTAGGAGTTGGTGGCTATTCAATACATAGTGCTGGGTTGATTTGTTAGTATCCTCTTCAGATAAACAAAATTAGATCTTCATCTTACACTGCAATGAAACATAAATTCCAAATGGAACAAAGATACATAAGTAGTACAGACTGTGTGTGATCAAGCCAGTTGCCACCATTGGCATCAAGAACGCAATGCTACTGGGCACTGTGTGAGATGCAGAGCAGGGGTGAGAGTTATCCCAATTAAGGGTCAAGGAAGCAGTGATAGTTATTTGACAAGTAGTCATGCTCATTGGTTGAGAGTAGCTTCCTGCACTTTTAAGTCTCTGGCACTTTGAGCTTACTCTGTGTGGGTAGAACATTCACAGAAATCTGACTTCAGTGTGCAGAGATGAATGACAGGGCTTGTGGGTGTATGACCCTTACAATGTTTGCTATAGCTTACAGATGAAAATCATTATCCAGGATTTATAGAGAATTTCCACTAATTAACAAATAGAAGACAAATAGCAGGTAATTAACAAAAAAACGTAATACCAAATAAAAAAGAAACAAAATACAAGCACACAACTGTCTGTAGGTGCTCAAGTTTAGTGGTAATTATAGATTTAATTAAAATAATACATAAAATATTATTACTTTAAACATCCTAGAAAAAATTAAAACTTTAGCATTACTAAGAAACAGCGTTTGTTGCTTATGAGAGTGAAGATTCAAATAATCATGTTTAATAGCAATTTGGCAATATCTAGCAAAACTGAACTTAATCCCCAAATTCTCCTTCTAGCTACATGCCCTAGAGAACCTAGCATGAGCAATAAGACAATATTCATTATAAAAATCTCTATGCCTCACAAAATATAGGGAAAACATAAATGTTCATCTATAGAAAAATAAAAAAGTGAATTGTAGTATTTTTATGCAATAAAATATTAAATACAAGTTAAAAGTGCATGCAGCAGAACTGTATGTACCAGCTTGGAAATAATAAAACAAAATTTCAAGCAAGTAAACTAGTTTAAAAGTACATATGCAGTGTTATACTATTTGAAATAAAAAAAGAAAACTGTTTAGTGATGCAATTCTGTATAATAAAAATATACCTAGAGATGAGAAAATTTAGTATGGTCCTTTTCAAGTAGGAAAGGACGTGGATAGTATAGCAGTAGAACACCAAGCTGTATTTGTATTGCGTCAGTTCTGTTAAAATTACAAAACAAATTAAGGAACTTTGTTAATTTTGACAAAGCTAGACAATTAGAACATGTCAGTTAATAATACTCTGCATTTTTCTATATATATAGAAATTAAAATGGAAGCATATGATTGAAGTCCCTATGGTATTAATAAAATTTTCATCTTCATTAAATAATCACTAAAATGTTAAGAAAATTTATGCAAGAAATTTCTATTTTGAGAAATGCAGAGGTTACAGAAAAGACTCCCTTAAGTCAAGCCACTGAGTAACTATAGGAGAGTGAAATACTTAAAGATATAGTTAAAATATTTAACCATATAAGCTAAAATGCTCTACATGAAGTAGAAACAAATGAGTATAATATATTTGAGTTGGTGAATGACGAGATTATACAGCTCTGGACAGGAAAACCTCACTAACACTCAATGAAGATTTCAGTGAGTAAATACAATTTTTGCATACCATTTCAGTGATGGGAATGACATATTCTAGTTAGATGAATAATGATGTAAGAAGAGATTTGACGATGTTGGGTTATGAAATAAAGAGAGCCAATGCTCAAGTTTGGGAGACTCCTAAATGGTGGTTGTGAGTATTTTTGCCTAGAGTGAATGAAAGGATACGAATAGAAGAACTAAGAAAATTAAGTGTCTAATAATCTCCTAATTATATTATCCAAGCAACAGAGTCAGAGGGTTAAGGACCATGGTGCACAACATAATCTGTTCATTTGCTCGACAAATATGTGGTTTTACACTCTGACTGTACACAGTAGCAGTTGTACTTGTAGAGAGTCTCTAAAGATTAAGGGCATGAACAATTATATAAAATTTCTTTCACTGTTCCACACAAGGTAGGAAATCTCAGACAGCTTTTACCTCTAAATACTTACCAGTGCCTGGGTTTTTAGCAGATACATAGCTTGAATAATATTAAATTTTAGAAAACTAATATAAAATAAGATATTCTGTGTTCTTCATCAAAAATACTTTTGGAGATTATAGGGATTATTATTCTTTCTGAAAATGTGCCCAAATGTCTCAGTGTAATAAGTCAACTAACACTTCTATGATGGATTTTCAAAGTTGAGATAGCCTTATGAAACACACATTTATTTGTCTCCAATGCTGATATATTTCTTTTCTTTGACTTTCTACATAATTTTAATACATTATTCTAAGTTCTAATTGGTAAGCTTCTTTATATTTTAGGTTTTATAAGAGGGCAGTCATTTTCTGTTGTTCAAAGTCTGAGGGCTATTTGACAAACATCTTATTGGGTACCAAAAAAATAAGTGTAGAACTTTATTCTTAAATATCTATCAGTGAGGATCCTTAAATATTATAATCCTAGAATTTTGCTTATTGGTTATTGTTATTGTTTAAACACTTGAAAAACATTGGATGTATAGAAAATTTTGTTGCCATGTCATCTTTCCCTCAGAACTTCTGCTATTTTCTGGCATTAAATACTTAACTAGAGCTCTTTCATGACTGTTCAGTTCAATTTTTTGATTGCATGTGCATCAACATTAACCATTCTTTTTAAAATCTGTTTTTAGAAGGGCTGATGTATTCTGTATTCCCTGAGTTCATCCATATATGAGAAATCTTCCTCTTTATTTTATACTGTTGTGGATTAAATGCATGGGTAATTGACAAGTCTATTTTTTTCTTAGAATTCTGAATATCAGAGTTCTAATATTATTCTGACAATGAACGGAATTGTGGAGATGTTTGATACTAATTCTGTTTCTTACTTTTGTATGTGACATATT